TAAAAATATCCTTGTGTCTTGAGCAACTGGATACAGTGTGCAGAGCTGGGAGAAAATGTATTTTTGGATTCTAAACTCCCAGCGGGCTGGGGGATTCTGGGAGTTAGAGTCCAAAAAAGGGACTCTGCCTCCTCCCCATCAGCTCTTATTCTGGATGTGCAGCTTTCCATTAATGTCGTGGTTTCTAAAACTTTGGTCCTCTGTATTTTTTTAGCTCCCAGAATTCCAGATTGTTGGCCAAATTGGCCGAGGCTTCTGGGAGCTGAAGTCCAAAACAATTGGAGGGCCAAAGTTTTGGGAACCACTCCACTAATGTAGTTTGTAGGACACTGATTTGTACGAGGGAATTCAGGATCCTGTTATTGAATTTGTTCCTCCTCAGTCAATCCGATCGAATTTTGACCTGGGTTTTTGACCTGGGTTGGCTCATTCACACATGCATGGCAAGGGCAATGCTGCACCTTGCAAATGTTGAGCGTGCATCTCAAGACATTGGCCCCAGAGAAACAGAGGTTTGCTTGGACCTTCTCTCGGTGGTGGTGCAGCTTTGGCTTGTATGAGGCCCCAGGTTCAAATCTGGCACCCTGTTTGATGAAATAAATAAGTCCGCCATAAGTCGGAAATGACTTGAAGGCATGCAACACACACACACCTGTAACTAGGATAAGGAAAATAATTAGGTGGTGGAGCTAAGTAAAAAATGTTTGGCTTAACTTCTTTTGAGAATCCAAATGTCCTGAAAATAAGAGGTGGTTTGGAGGTAAAATACTGTCTATATATGTGTCTATGCATGTGCATTGAAGGGCAGACTTTGCATAAACCTGATCAGCATCAAACTTTGCAACAGGATTCTCCAACATTTCTCACAAGCAAGCAACCCACCCCTCAGGCCAGGGTCGGAGGTTGCTTATTCTCCAAAAGAGACTGTCCTGGACTTCACTGTGCAAAGTCGCCTTGGCAGAAAGACATGCCAGTTGGCATCCTGGCCTCTTGCCACATGGCAGTTAACTGTCTCTGGAGTTTGACAATGCTTCTCCTGACCCAGCAAGGCTGGGGAAAAATGTCAGAGAAGTAGTATGTCTGTGTATGGGAGAGAGAGAGAGAGATTTGGGGGGTTTATTTTTTGGCTTAATCCAGACTATGGGTGGGAGCAACATCCAGATATTTAGAAGCCAGACCGGAGGGCAGGGGAGTGAGTGAGTTGAGGATGGAGCTGTATCCCCATTGGCATTGCCATGAACAATGGCTTGTCAACAGCATGTTGGGACTAGATCTGTCTTTGGTCTGAGCAACAGAGTTTCTCTTACATTCTTTTTGCCTTCATCAATTGCCATCAAGTCATCTTTGACTTACGGCGACTCTAGGAATGAGAGCCTTCCAAGACACCTCTGTTATTGTCCACTTCTCTGCTCAGGTCTTGCAAACTCAGTCCCCTGGCTTCCTCGATCCAGCTGTAATATGGTCTTCTTTTTCTCTACTGCCTATCACTTTAGCAAGCATGGTCATCTTTTCCAGTGAG